AGCTGCGGTTACCAGCATGCATCTAGTTACTCTGCTGGGCAGTTGCCATCACTCTAGTTTTCGAAAGGCTCTTATGCCTTTGCAAACTGCACTGGCAGACATCAAAATCACAAGTCGAGCTGTCCCTGGATGGACCCACACTAGTCCAATGCAGCACGGTGGTATACAAAGTTATAAAAAGTTTTCCAAAGTCCTCATCAAGACTGTAGTCCTCCCTTTCTTTCCGTGTTATGGTCCCATTTTTTCTAGGAGCTTGATTGTGATTGTTTGCTAAAGTACAAAATAGAATGCAGTATGTGTGCTGTATTGACAGGCTTGGCACTACTATTTTGCCACATTCATAAGAGGATGTTTTCTGGCACATGTAGTTGGTAGCCACCTACCAGGAAACAAGGGCTACAAACAGAGGCGTCATTCATGCTGGCCTCCTTGAAGTTTCCTTGCCAGCCCTGGTCTAGGGACCTTTTGAGTCTGTGTGTTCACAGGCATGTCTTGGGCTGGTATTTAGGAGAAAGAAGAGACATTTCTAAGTCGTGGATGACTATACGTGGGATAGCAGAGGCAAGAACAGAGAGTACATGAATCCTGTCGGAGGCTAGGACTGACGAAATCCGCCCCTGAATGTCTCCCCCAAAGAAGCAAGGGTTATGGAGATGGGGCAGGGATCTATGAGGAAGGAGATGGTCAGAAAGTGGAGGAAGGGAACCGACAGGCAGTGGGCTTGGCAGAGACTGTGGGAACGAGGAGAAATTAGGGAGGGGAATAAGAAATCATATGCTGCTTGCAGTGTTCCCTCCAAGATGAGTTAGTGTGAGCTAGCTCAAAGTCTTTTAGCCTCCGGCTCACACATTTTTGTCTTCGCTCAGGAAGGATGGCTCCAGAGCAAACTAATTACATGCAGTAGCCAAATTGCTCACTCACAACTTTAATGCCAGTAGGTCACAAAGTAGAATTTTTGCTCATCAGATACCACAGCTTAAAGGTAGCATCAGTTGCCTGTCCTGAAGAGTGAGAGAAGCCTTGCTGTTGAGATTACAGAGGGCAATTTAAAGAGACGATGAAACTAACCTGTTGCCTAAAAGCTGGGATATTCTGAGTTTTTGTCCTGTTTTTTGGGGGAGGGGGGTGTCTTGTGATATTTGTGGAGCTCAAAACTACCTTACCAGAGACTATACTAATTTTTATGGGAGATAGGCCGCCTAGCTTTGGAAATTCAATCAGAAGTGCCCCTTGAGTGCTCTTTCTGATGAGTGGGCATTATTTTGGAGATGTGCTAAGTATTCTTAGAAAGTTCACTGATGTTTTGAGCTTCTCATGATACCGGAAATGGTGGACGATCGCATAACATCACAAGACCAGCCCCTAAGCTGAGTTGCATAGTTTCTCATGGAACCTGCATTACTCCATTGTGGGACTGGCATTTTATTTTCTTGTGGACTGCTGTGGATAGACTCTCCTCTGTACCCCTGTGCATAATAGGGCCCTGGGGTTATAAGGGTTCTGAAGTAACAGACTGGTGTGACACAAAAACATAGCTTTAGCAGTCAGTCTCCAAACTGCTTGCTGTGGTCTCCTTGAAAAAAAGAAAATGATATTGGTGTTATCACACCATTGATAGTTGGCACCATTTCTATTTCTACAGTTAAACAATACAAGCTGGAGGTCCACAAGGACTTACAGGAGGCATCTCATTTTCCCCGCCCTCGCTATTTCTTCTTTCCCTTTCACGAAACCCCCCCTCACCTCTCCCATTTTCCTGCTTCCTCCTCTCCTTCGTATCCAGCAGCCAGCCTAGCTTCCTCTGCTCCCCTGGCCTCAGCTTTGCTTCGCACTGGCAGCCTCTCCCTGTGAAAACTCTGGCTAAGTTGCACAATGTCAGCAGGTGGCACAACTTGCAGGGGGCACCTCACTTTCCCTTACATCCCCCTCCCCACACTATTTCCTCTGTCTTTGTTACTGGCAGCCCTGCACCCTCAGCTTTTCCTGCTTCCTTCCCTCTTTCCCACCAACTAACCTGCCCTTTCCCATAGTCTTCAGGTACATTTATTAGTTATTGACTTCATCTATATCCTATTTTTCTCCCCAGTCGGGAACCAAATCAGCGTACACCATTCTGTCCTCCTTCATTTTACCCGCATAACACCCCTGAGTGGTCACTTAGTCTCAGAGTGTGTGACAGGCCCAAAGTCACCAAGTGAGCTTCCACAACAGAGTGGGGATGTTCTCCTAGGTCTCCGAGACACTCTAACCCAGGGGTGGCCAAACTTGCTTAATGTAAGAACCACACAGAATAAACGCCAGTTGTTTGAAAGCTGCAAGACATGAACAAATGTTACATACATTTTTATTGGGAAATATGCAAATCTGCTTTTTATTAACATTACTAAATGAGACTGCCAAAATAAAAACAAAAATGTAAAAACATATATTGATAATTACATTTATTTGTCCAGTGATATTTGTTTGCTAACAATACTTTTTTTGTCTAAGTGAGAAAGAGAGAGAGATGGAAAGAAAGAATGAAAGAGGAGGAAAGAAAGAAAGAGAAACAAAGAAAGCAAATATAGGGGGAGGGGGGAGGGAAAAAGAAGGAAAAGTGGAAAGAAAGCAAATAGAAGGGGGAGGGAGGAAGGAAGGAAGCAAATAGATGAGGAGGGAGGGTGGAAGGCGAAAAGAGAGAGAGAAAGAGAAGTGGAAAGCCCTGCTCCTTAGGGCTGTCAACTCTGGGTCAAGAAAACCTGGAGAAGGCATGGGTTTGGGGAGGAAGGGACCTCAGAGACATATAATGCCATGCAGTCCACCCTCCAAAGCAACTATTTTCTCCAGGGGAACAGATCACTGTCGTCTAGGGTTGCCAGATCTTCCCTAGCCACCAGCAGGGGGATGGGGGGGGGTTGCCAGTTTCAGGTTGGGAAACTCCTGGAGATTTGGGGTGGAGCCTGGAAAGAACAGGGACTCCACAAGGGTATAGTGCCTTAGAGTTCACTCTCTAAATCATCCATTTTTTAATGGAGGAACTGTTCTCTATCTCCTGGAGATGAGCTATAATTCCGGAGGCTCTCCAGGTCTCACCTGGAGGCTGGCATCCCTATGAGATCGGTTGTAATTCTGGGAGATCGCCAGGCCCCACCTGAAGGCTGGCAACCCTATGCACCTGGAGCCTCTCCCCGTGTGCTCGCCTGGTGCTGCCCAGCCACGTTCTCTGGGCGATGGGTGTGCAAAGCTGACTGCATTTCCCCCTCCGTTGTTTTACCACACCCACGTTGGAGCAAAAATTCCGCTCTGCATTGGACGCTGGCTTCACTCCCTTTGATGGCGGCGTCCACACTCCATGCCCCCTTCGAGTTCTCTGATCGTAGGATGCAATCGCACCTTCTGCATAGATTGTGGCCGTTTTAAGGCCGTTCAGGTTTGACTCTGCAGTCAGTACGGCCTTGGCCCGAGGTATTTGGAGGTGGTTTTGAGCTGCGCTTTTTCCTCCCAGTTGAGAAAATGTGGAGCAAATGCCAGATGCAGCCTCGCCCTTCTCCTAAGCTGACCGCGATGTCTGCAGAAGCGAAAGGCTCCTCTGGCTGCGTTGATAACCGAGCTCGGATAACAAAAGGCTCGGAAGCAAAACCGCTCCCTTTGAGCCTAAAGAAGCAGAGGAGCCGCCGGGGGCAGCACACGCGCGGCGCGCAGCCGCACACGCCCCTTGGCTCACGCCGGTTTAAATCAAACGGCGGCGCTTTGCCTGGGAAAGCAGACGGCGCTGCGGCTCTTCGGGGCGCGAAAGCGTCGCTCGGAGGCGATTCCACTTCCCGGGAAGCCGCCGGCCCCGTCTTTGCAGCATGGAGCGAGCACTGTAAGAGGTGGGCGAAGGGCCGGCTCGTCCCCGAAGACGAGGGGCTTTCCTGGGGGAGGGCGACTGTCTTATCCCCCCCCCCCCGGTGCCGCACACAGCAGCATCACCGCAGTGCCAGCCCTTCTCTCCTCAAATCTCAGCGCCTCGCCTTCCTTTCACTTCAGCGCCCTTCTGGGAGGAGATTTTCAGGCGCTGTCCGCGGCTGCTCAAAAGGGCCTCTTGAGGACGGGTCCAGCCCAGCCCAAACCCGCCTGTTCGGTGAGGGACCAGGTGGCTGCTTTTTCTTCTGTCTGCAAAGGCGCTGCAGTGGTATGGTCCCGTCCCGTCCCCCCCCGCCACCCCCACCCCGCCGCGGGCAAGGAGCCTGCGTGCTGTTGGGGAGAGGGAGAGATGCGCCGTTCCAGAGCCCAACAGTTGCTGCTTTGGATCTCTTACTTTTGCTATCCTAAGCAGGGGCAAACCCTTCTGGCCACATTGAAGGGACTGTTTGGGATTGCACTTTACCTTAAAAGGCCTGCTTTACCGTGCATGTTCATTGTGGGCTTTTTAAGACCTGGGGATTTTTGAAGCTCACTGTTTTAAACCGAACTTCCTTGTACATGTCATCTTTTCCACATTCCTCTCTTTGTCGAAGTGATAGGCACAAGGGAGTAACCTAACCTGATGCTCTTCTTTGATGGCCAGTTAGCAGAGGAAGGAATAATTTTTCTCTCTCCATTTGTTCTGATTCTTCCCCCCCCCCCCAAAAAAAATTGCAGCGCCACACTACCGTGGTTCCATGTGCTCAGGCAACCACTCCTAACATGATAGGCAGCCCACCTTGCTGGGTAGCTCCGTTCTTAGTCAATCACCTAGTTCAGAAAAGCAAAAAAGGAAGAATTCTGTTTCTGAGAACAGTGGTCCAAGACTGGAGCGCAGTTGATGTTAATCTCTAGGCTACTCGCCTCTGAATGGAGACAGAAAGTATCAGGTTGGCTGAGACAGGTTACGGGAACAGGGAGGGTAGGCGGAGCTTGTGGGAAATGAGTGGAGAAACTCCACTCAGTTCTCGCACTTCTCTGTGCAGCGAGGAGCTGAGCTAGTGAAGAAAGCAAAAGCATCATTCCCCTACTTTGTGTAATACTCTCAGGATCTTCGAGGTGAGGGTCCATCTCCTTTGTTCAGCAACTTGTTTGTCTGCTTTACTAAAAACTAATAGATCGAGGCAGCTTCCAGAGTACAAGATGTGAAGCTAGATGTTCACTGCATTCTGTGAGGTGGGTGGCTTTTTTTGTGCAAAAACTCAAGGTGATGCTTTGCCTCTTGAACAGAAATTGCTCTGGCAGGCATCTCTGAAATTAGGGCAAGGCAAGCTGGCGTGATAGGCCTGTTAATTGTCTTGCAAAAGACACAGGGAAGAAGTGGAAGTCTTAAAGTAAAGAGCAAAGGATTGCATTAAAGATGGGGAAAATTATTTCTTTGGGGATTGGAGATGAGCTGTGCATGATCTCATGTGGAAAATAATTATAAGGAGCTCTATGTTTTTTGTTTGTAATGTGATTTTCTTTACAAAGAATTCTGAACATGTTTACTTGGCTTCAAACCTGTAGGAATTTTGGCGTTTGGGGTTTTTTATCTGACGAATTAGAATGTGTGTTTTATTTTTGTCCTCAAGGTGCACAAAACTGAGTTCTTTTGGCTGTAGAAAGCAATGATCCAAATTTTTCAGATTAAAAAAATGTTCTGAGGAGTGTCATCTGTCTGAAGCTTTGTAAACACATACTTCTCCAAGAGATATTTGCACACGAATAGTGAATATTGCAGTACTGGGAAGGAACACCCCTTTTTTACACACCCAGGGAAATGCTGACTGCCATTTTGGGGTCAAGGAGCAATCCTGGAGGTTTTTTGTCATCTTCTGGGCGTGGAGCAGTGGTCACTGCGGGTGTGGAGGGGGAGGTATTTGTGAATTTCCTGCAGTGTGCAGGGGGTTGGACTAGATGACCCTGGAGGCCCCTTCCAACTCTATGATTTCTATTACTTATTTGGGATGTTGGTTTTGTGGCCTTAGGGCTCTTCATGGCCCTCTGTGGTTCAGTATCTGGCCTTGTTTGCATTGTACAGGCCCAACTCAAATCAAGACTGATCACAGTGGGTGAACTACAGTCTTTTTTCCTATGAAAAGTATAGCGTGATTCAGATGTTGTAGAATGTGCTGAACAAATGATGACAGGGCAGAATGTCACAGGACAGGTTCTGTAGCATAATGTATAAGATAGTAAAGCCCTAGCTCCATTTAAAAATTCTTGCATAGGGGATAAAAAGTCCTGGATTCAATCTGAAGTTTCCTTTTTTAAAAAAAAGATCTTGGTTTGGCTGCATGAAAACTTTGACAGCAATGATCAGTCAGAGTAGGTAGCACTGAATCAGAGAGAACAATGGTTTTACTATATAAAGTGACCTTATGTATTAAAAACAATCTTCCCTTAATATCACCTAGTTTTTAGGAAAGTGATCCTTTTTAGATCACCCTGTATTTTGCCACTGTTTCCTGAAAAGAAATTATTTTTCTTTTGAGTTATCTCTATGCAGGTATTGGCAAGAATGGGGTTGTTTTTTTTCCTTAGGGAGCCAAGAAGTCAACAAGAGGCAATGGGTGAGTGGGCATCAACGTGACAAATGGGGTTCAGTGTGGCCAAGTGCAAAGTGATGCACATTGGAGCCAAAAATCCTAAATATAATACACATTGATGGGGTCCGAACTGGCAGAGACTGACCAAGAGAGAGATCTTGGAGTCGTACTAGATAACTCAATGAAAATGTCGAGACAGTGTGCAACTGCAGTAAAAAAGGCCAACACTATGCTGGGGATTATTAGGAAGGGAATTGAAAACAAATCAGTATCATAATGCCCCTGTATAAATCGATGGTGCAACCTCATTTGGAGTACTGTGTACAGTTCTAGTCACGACACCTTAAAAAGGATATTATAGCACTGGGAAAAGTGCAGAAAAGGGCAATTAGAATAATAAAAGGGTTGGAGCACTTTCCCTATGAAGAAAGGTTAAAACGCTTGGGGCTCTTTAGCTTGGAGAAACAACAGCTGAGGGGTGACAAGATCAAGGTTTATAAGATTATGCATATAAGAGCAGGTTGAGAAAGAAGTACTTTTCTCCCTTTCTCACAATACAAGAACTCATTGGCACTCAATGAAATTGCTGAGCAGTCGGGTTCGAACAGATAAAAGGAAGAAGAGAGATTAACCCATGGAATTCTTCACCCAAAGAGAGATTAACACATGGAATTCACTGCCACAGGAGGTGGTGGCGTCTACAAGCATGGACAGCTTCAAGATGGAATTAGATAAGCACAAGAAGGGGGACACGCGATACTCGCGGGGGGAGAGATGCTCCGCGGGAGGAGAAGGAAGCAGCCGCAGGTGAGCCTTCTCCCCTGTGTCCACCCCCATCCCCGGCACCCACGGCGAGGCCTGACCTCAGCCCGCCAAGCTTCCTTGTCCCCTAGCGGTGGCAGCGGCGCCTCGCTGGCCCGCTGAACTCCCCCCCCCCGACGTCGGTGAGGCTTCGCCAGTCCGCCAAGCTTTCCCCCTTCCCCCCTCAGCAGCAGCGGCGGCAAGGAGTTGCCGGCCTGCCAAAATTTCTCCTTCCCTCCCCCCTTCCCCCGGGCAGCGAGGCCTCACTGGCCCACCAACCCCCCGTGGCGAGGCCTCATTGGTCCGCCAAACTTTCCCCCCCAGGCCACTGCCACCGTTCCAAGAGCGTTCCCTGCGCATGTGCAGGGGACGCTCTTTTACTTTTTGGGGGATTTCAGTATCCCCCCTATAGTACTGGTTTGGCACAGTCATGGTCTTCCACTAGATGCCTGATAAAGGGGTTTTCCCCCCCTCCCTCTGGTATGAAGTTGAACTGCTGACACTTGCCCCGTAAACCCTGAATTCTCCCTCCCTTTGCTCAGTCCCTCCTCATCAGATAACTTTGCTAGCTGGAAGAATCTGGTGTTTTCTCGGCAGGGGGGAAGGTACGGTATGATCATTGGTATATGTAGCAAGAGCAACAGAAGGAAGACTATGAAAGTTCTCCTTCCTTCCTACTTCCTGTGCATTACCTACTTGTGTATAAAACTGGTTCCCAACATAGCCATGCTGGCAGTGTTCCCTCTAAGCTGAGTTAGTGTGAGCTAGCTCACAGTTTTTGAGCCTCTGGCTCACTCATTTTTGTCTCAGCTCAGGAAGGAGGGCTCCAGAGCAAACTAGTTTATCCAGCAGCCAAATCTCTCGCTCACAACTTTAAGGCCAGTAGCTCACAAAGTAGAATTTTTGCTCACAAGACCCCACAGCTTAGAGGGAACATTGCATGCTGGTAGCGTAGCCCAGAAGCAGACCCCAGGAGGAAACTGTGGAATAGAAATTTATTCTTAGTCGTTGGAATCACAGGGCAGGCAGCAGATTTAGAGCCAAACCTAATACTTTTCTCCAAATGTTTTGCCCCTTGAGTGAAACTAGGCAGCGAAACTAGAGGAGTGCCCATTCAGAAGCACCATTAGAGTGTGGATTAAATCTACCCAGAGTGGGTACAGATTTCAGTGAACCCTCGAGAAATAGATTGTGTTCCCTTTTAAAAGCCTGTTTAGGAATAGCTTCACTTTGTTCTTCGGGTTGGTGTAGAGACTGCAATCTCTCTGTGTGTTCATGCCTGGAACCAATAATGAGACCTTTTGCTGAAGTTGCCATAGTCTTCTTGTGTGCCGACTGCAGAGCAGGACTGAAAGGCAAACTGGAAGAAGGATAGGTAAGCTCACCACGCCTCAGAGAATACTACACTCAGAGAATACTACACTCTGCTGCTGGGTGGGCCCAAGGTCTACTGGCAAGGATCCTGCAGGGGGTGTAACTCCTTCAAGGAATCCTTGCAATAACCAACCATGCCTTCTACACACAAATACCACATTGGCATGGTTTGGCATTTTTGTTGCTCAGTCTGTCCATGTTAATTTTATGTAACTAACAGTGCAATCCTAAGAATGCTTTTTTTTCTGGAAGTTAAGCCTCATTGATAGATTCTGAGTAGCCCTGACCTGGATAGCCCAGGCAAGCCTGATCTCATCAGATCCCGGGAGCTAAGCAGGGGGGAATCTGGCAAGTACTTGGAGGGGAGACCTCCTTGGAATACCAGAGGCAGGAGGCAGGGGCAGACCCAGTAGGGGTCAGTCACCAGAGGTCGCCATGACTTCCAGGTACACACGCAGGCATGCACATATGAAAAATACCAAAAAATGGATAGATTTATTTTATTTATTTATTTATTTATTTAAGCATTTTTACCCCGCCCTCCCCGCACGCGGGCTCAGGGCGGCTTACAAGGGGCATAAGCCCAGCATAAAACCAGTAAAACAATAAAATCATAAATATAACAATAATGACATAACGATAAATAGCAATAAAATACTTCAACATCACTAACTACAATAAAGTGCTTGCTTGTCAAGATGGTCTCAGTTGTTATAATAGTGTTGTCCATCAGTCCCATTTGGCGCCACTATCAAATAGGTGGTTCGAACCAGCCCGTTGGTCTCATTGCAGCGCGGTTCTCCTTACTGTTAGGCTACCCAGACGATTTCTGATCTTAATGATGTTGCCACCGTTGATGGTAATGGTGGCAATAGATTATGAGTAGACCTGCTCTCCAAAAGCCCCAAGACTTCATTTGGGTTAAGGTGAGTTTTAGTATGAAGAAACTGGAGGATTGCCATTAGAAATTATTATTTTTATTTTAACATCTGTTGGGCTTCTGAGGAAATTGTGTTGATATACCTTAACCTGCCCTCTGTCCTTGAGGAAAAAAAGGCAAATAATGAAATAATTGTAAGGCCTAGTTGAAGCTTGAACACATGAAGCTGCCTTATACTGAATCAAACCATTGGTCCATCAAGGTCAGTATCATCTACCCAGACTGGCAGTGGTTCTCCAAGGTCTCAAGCAGGAGATGCCGGGGATTGAACCTGGGACCTTCTACATGCCAAGCAGGTGCTTTATCACTGAGCCACAGCCCCTCCCCATGGCTTGCAGCATTGCACACTCCTTTTTCTTAAGCTAGGCCTGTGTTAACACACAAACTGCTTAAATTAGAATCATTAGCAGGGCTGTGGCTTCTTATTTATTTTATTTATATTTCAATTTATATCCCACCCTACCCCAAAGGCTCAGGGCGGCTCACAAGGGCACCATGTACCAAGGTTAAAACAGTAATACATAATTAAA